AGGAGATCGGGCTGAAACTATAGCTACAAGCTATCCAAGGATGGTACTATAGAATGTCACCTCAAGGTAGGCCTAGTGGCGTCATCTCTTGGTTAGGCCGGAAACTTATCAATCCACCCTCGTATATAAGCCCTATATGAAAGTACCAATTATTAAAGTGAAATTTAATTTTTTTCCACTATAAATGATCTCAGGTTAATAAGGAATAAATTGTTACTCGCTTACTGATTTAGTCGTTATTACACTTTTGCTGAAAAAGGAGGATGAAGAGACTGAAAAAAAAGAAAAACAGGAAAAGCGGGAAAATAAAATCTTGTTCTATACATACAAAATAAACTGAAAACATTTGGGTTTAACATTAAATCATGAGGATGTAGAATACTTAATAACAATACGATGGGGTTTGAACTCACGTTGTTACAGATTTTGAACGTTCTTCTAGCATCAGTAGAAGGATGAAGTCGGTAGGTGGTTTTGTTAAAGATTACTTATATTACATTATGAATTTAATTTAAAACACTTTATAAAGAATAGCAGAATTGCAAGGTATTGAGTTGTTTCTCTTACATGTTTCTGTCTGTATTTACTTCATAGCTGGAAAGAGAATGCGCAAGTCCATGCTATATATCTATGACGGTTACAAAGAATACTAGATTTTGTAGATCTCACATTCTAGAACCAGATGAGCCCTTATAATTAGTTGTCGCGAGGTCGGAACAGTTAGTTCGAGTTGTAGTTACGAAGCGATAGAATGATCAATAGGAGAAAGAGCGAAGAAGCGATAGTGTTTGATATTGTAGTGAACGGCTAATAAATCAATTAATAATACTGGTTTTAAAGAGTAACAGTGGAATGCTATATAAAGTATTTAATTATAGCTCCTTGTATATCTTTGAATATCAGGATAAACATTTAGAAAACTACAAATAACCCATCGAGCAAATATGGCAATGGGTAGGTAGATCGTTTAAAGCACATGCTATTTTATAATCACAACCATTGCTTGTGAATTAATTAAATTAAGTTTCTGCCAAAAGCGTTTGGAAATTGGCAAGAACGGATCACAATACTAATTTAAATAAAACTATTAATAGTTTTCACCAACACCTCACAACTCAAATAGACGATTTTACGAGATATTCTAAATCCACTTTATATATACAGGGTGTCCCAAGCAAACGGGTTTCTTCAATAACTGCTTTAGATCTGAAGATATTAAAAAGTTTCTTAAAAAAGTGGTATATACAAGTATTTCCATAAAATTCGCACTAAATCAATAAATAGGCGGTTGCAGTACTCTGCGCCATTTTGAATATCTCCGAAATGAAAGCAAACAGAGGTGTGCTATTTTCATCCGTAGCTTGTGGGCGAAATGGCCTACTATTTCAACTGTTAACGCAAACATATTCTTTTCAAATTCATTATAATCTACCACTTCATTGTTTCGAACTGGCATAATTATTTAAAAATTAAAAGGAAGATTCACCCCTAATTACCAAAAAAAATTTATTTGAGCGGACACGTGTTTCGCCCACTTCATACGTGGGCATTGTCAACGCGAGACGTATGAAGTGAACGATATATATATAGTTTAATAAAGTATTTGTTTATTATACGAAAACTGTCTTTCATTTCCACAAAAAAAAACGAAATGACTTTCCGAACAGCCCTATATTTTGGGAGTGGTAGATTTCAATGAATTTGGAAAGAACATGTTTGCGTTAATAGTGTAAGTAGTAGGCCATTTCTTCCACAAGCTAGGTGTGAAAATAGCACACCTCTTTCTGCTTTCGTTTCGGTGATATTCAAAATGGTGCAGAGCCTACTTATTGATTTAGTGCGAATTTTATGGAAATTGATGAATTTCAGACATAATATATGGTTAAGAAAGTGGTATTTAAATTTAACGAAGAAATCAAAGATGCAATAATAAATGGGGCATTCAATTTGAAAAGATGAAGTTAAGTTGCCTCCAGGAGAAATGGGACACTCTGTACAATCGAAAATAATTTCAGAATATGAAGAGACCTATATGGCGCCACTTTTGTAGAAAACTGTTTTCGATATCTCCAACTATAAAGCAGTTATTGAGGAAACGCGTTTGCTTGGGACACCCTGTATATATTGATAAATTATTTTATAAAACTGGTTTCTTCTATTAGAAAACGTTGAACTATAATTAAAACCTCGTTATGGTATCTTTTGACTGCCGAAAAAAGTTAATCAAGTAACAAAGTGGTGAATATACACCAGATAAATAAAGTTAACAATTTATGCTGCTCAATAATTTATAAATCATAATTAAATGTGTAGCGTAAAATAAAATTCGTGTTTCCACTTAACTGAACATTAACATAATTTAAAAATGTTAAGGGGTTATGTAGTAAAATAAGTTTTTTTCCCTATTTCCAATGTGTCCAGTTACGAAAAACCAGTTAAAATTTTTATTTTACTTTACCGTATGTGTACCCACTATTACACTTTTGAACCAAATGAAATGGTAGTGTTGATTCGCTACTTTACCAGTTAATTTTCTTCAGATATACGTACTTTCAAGTACTCGTATGTCGCCATCTGAAAATAATAAGCACATTTGTAACAATTACATTCATAAAATAAAACGACGTTCTAACAACAAATGTTGTTTGATTATTAGTACAATGTTTAGACAATATACAATGTATACTCTTTTTTTAGTTTTAGGATAGAAAATGCGCTTGAGCGCAGGTGAGCCCGTATAATTAGTTGTCGCGACGTCGGAAAAGTTAGTTCAAGTTCTAGTTACAAAGCGATAGAATTCTCAAAAGGGGAAAGAGCGAAGAAGCGATAGTGTTTGATTTTGTATTGAACGGGCAATAAATTAATTAATAATACTGCTGTTAAAGATTTAATAGTTAAATAAATTAATGAGTAGTGCGAAAACTGTTTGATTGCGGGACTATAAGTGCAAGCAGCGTGGCGAACTCCAACTGTATAAGTTTGCTACTGAAATACATATATTTGAAATTAAAACTTATTGAATCCCACAAGAAGTAGTTGTAGATGTCATTCAGTATGCCCTCTGCAATTACCCTTGCACATATACTTTAATGTTATCTGGAAAATAGCTCGTCATCCAATGCCGTTATTATTAGATCAATGAGGTATTTTACCAAAAAGCACATGAAGACTATTAACAAAAAGACAATTACCATCTCCACAGTTGTCGATGATACCTGGAATCACAAAGCACATTAATTGCATTAAACATCTTCATTTTATGAAAAAACTATATCAAAGACGTATAAAATAAATGATCTCATGTGTGTAGCTAATGAAAATTATTTGTAATGTTCAATATTTTCATTCAGACCGATTAAAACATGAATAGAACCCCCTTATTTATCAATTTGGAAAATGGAAGTGACAATGAAACTGGCATTAGTGTAACTAACGGTGACACTAGGTAAAGTGTTTTTGAATTAATTTTTACCACTACAGCTAACCTCAAATTAATGAGGAAAAATTTTTGGTGCTGCCACGCCTTCGGCGGGAATTGAACTGTTATACACTTTTTTGTAAAATGATAATAATAACAAAATAACAAAAAAACACAACGTGTAATTATACAACAAGCTGCTGAAGTGAAACTTCTTCAAACACACAAACATACCGGGATAGAGGTTAAGGAATGGGTTTATTGGTATTGTTTGTACACTATGCTTCGCACGGGTACAATGCTGATAGTAAATATACTGTAGAATGTTTTTATATACAACAATCACAGCTTTTTTGTCATTGGACAATACAATCGGGCCGGTACCGCCGCAACCGCTATGTCCCTGCATTTTAAGTCTGTAATATCTTCGAAAATATTAATTTAAATTACATGCTATAAAGGGCCACATTGATCTATATTAAATGCACAATGTATTTAAAAGTACTTAATTGGATAAGGATTAACGCTGTATTGCTTAAAATCGCTTCGTAAATAAGCCATTATTTCTCGTAAAAAGTAAAGGATAAAAAATGGTTATTGTGGGTTATCCCTAAGAGATAGACATATACCATCGCGGACTTTTTTGTAGACCTTTTTAAGATGTACAATACTCTGGTATATTATTTTGATCTATCTCGTAGGGTTCAGCCAGCGTTTGCAACGTAAGCGCAAAAAAATTGTTTATTTACGACATCACATTACAAACCTCTAAAATTATCAGTGATTCTCTACTATATTATGCATGTATTATACATATAAACCTTCCTCTTGAATTACTCTATCTATTAAAAGAAAAAAACGCATTAAAATTCGTTGCGTAGTTTTAAAGATAAGCATACATAGGGACAGACAACGGGGGAAATGCGTTGGATGATTTCGTTACATAGCAACTCGCATGAAACGAACTTACCCTACCGTACGTAAAGAAGTTTCACCTCAATAATATTTATAAGTGTAACGTTTTACCTATTTGTTACCTTTCTTTTAAAAATGTTCCACCGAAGTGTTTAATAACAAATTGTTATTGTTGTTAATATTTGATCTCAACTGAAGTAAACAATAAGAAAATTTAAAACTACTTCCTTTTGTGTTAGGGAGTCCCTATAAAAACAATCAGAAATTTGTGAAGGTCTTGGAATAAGAATGATGAGTGGTAGTTCAGTCTACTCGACTGCGCTAGCATGTTTTTCTCATACTTCGAATGTCCAGATACGTACCACCAAGTAAACCTGAAAATAATAAGCACATTTATAACAATTACATTCATAAAACAAACGTTTCTGATAAAACGACCTTCGAAGAACAAATGTTGTTTAGTTATTGTTACAGTGTTTAGGCAATACACAATGTATGGTTTTTCTAGTTTAAAGTTTAATAAGTACTTTCACCTATTGGTTTTTAGCTGTCCTAGGCTACACACATGTCTTCTGTTGAGTAAAATATCTAACAAGTTTAAAACAATAAAAAATAAACTAAGAAGGTGTAGAAAAAGCAAACGTAGATTGTAGTGCCTTTTCAGGTGTGCTGCTGTACCACATTTTTCAATGAACAAACTCTTAATGGTTTTAAGAAATTTAATTTACATTACCGCTGGATTTTTCATTATTTTCTTTCAGGCGTCTTGACTTTTTAATAGCAAATGGCGACATTAAGCCGACCTTGTATTACTTTTATACTGAATGCTCTTAAAAAAATGAATAAATTTTAATTACATAAGTTAAGTTGGTGAAGCCAGAATTCCAAAGTAAATGATCGTGGAATCAATATTTACTTTATAACCAAAACTTGTGCATTATCATCACCATTCAGCGAATAGGAACTTCTTACACCTTTTATAATGGGGATTTCTATTATCAACCTTGCTATACTGTCGCCTACTTCTTTTGGCGTTTTTAAGTATATACATATATTAGTTATATTTTGAAAACATATTAAATGTTATAGTGTTAATGTTGAATGACGACATTAAATACTGAAATCAGCGGATCCCAGTAATGTCTAGCTGTGACAGGAAATATCGCTAAAAAGTACAATCGACCAAAACACATTTGACTACTGAAAATACCATTTGGGTCATTTATCATGAAAACGAAAATCTCCGAGCGACAAATCTGATGGTTGATCGGGTTCGACGATCGAAGGCTGCTAGACCTCTTATCCTAGGTCGTAAGTAATTGTAAATGAACGAAGGAGGGATAAACATGTTCAACAATTAGCTAATTTCGGACCGAGCGGCATGGCCTAGAGGTTTAGACCATTGCTTAGCATTCGGGAGGACACCGTTTTCGCTGGATCACTCAGGCAAATGCTGCGGCAGTAATCTTCATTTCGTCCGTATCATCTTTCTCACCCAAACCACCACCCCGGAGGGACTGTCCGCCCACCAGCATTACTGGCTGGTGGGAATGAAACACCCAAAAGCTTTTTTTTTCGAATGTCGGTTAGTTGCGCCTCAACGCCGGAGTTGGAACTCTTTTAGATTTTGTTTCATAGGTTTGTTTGTTCTATTTAATTTAATTAATTGACACTACTGAGAAAACGCGAACGATTAAGAAACTTTATGCAGCTACGCATGAGGAACGTTAAAGAAATTTTGGAAAAATGACGAATTTGCGCAAAAAGCGATTTAATAATGAATAATTACATATACTCCAGATTACTACTTTGCGTAAAGGTACGGTTAAGTTGACTTGTGAAAAACAACTTTCCGGAATTGAATGTGATCCTATGGAATTTTTATGAAATTTTATGAAAAAAGAAATCCGCGGTTTGAAAATATTTTCTGTGACAGCCATACATTAAAGACATCACATATTTCAATGTACTGCCGACATGTGTAATAAACACATAAATATAGATATTAAATTAGTAAAGGTTATTACCATCGGGTGATGGTTCCGGAAAGGGGGCCCCTGAAACAAAAACATGGTTATAGCGTAATTAAATCAAAAACAATTCATTCCTCAGTATAATAAGTGTTCAGTGTTTGGTGGGCGGGCAGTCCCTCCGGACTACGCCGGAAGGTAGGGTGGAAGGCCCTCTTCAGCCTCCTTTCAGGAATCGTTGACAGAAAAAGGACAGACCAAGGCAGACGGACCCGGAATCGAACCGGCGTCCTCCCGAATGCCAAGCAATGGTCTAGAGCAGGGGTCGGCAATCTGCGGCTCGCGAGCCACTTGCGGCTCTTTGGATGTGAAGCTGCGGCTCAATACGAAAATATTATTTATTTTATCAAAAAAATCGGTTGTCTGTAAAGTCGGTTTACTGACGATAGTTGAACGTGACAACGTCATAAGAAAATACTGATGGAATGGTTTCATTTTTCGAAACAAAATTTTAATTTTATTTGTTTGATAGATATTTTGTATGGATATAGAGAAGGAGGTAAATGGAAATGTATTATTGT